ACAACATTCCCTTTCACTGTTATCCTGATGACATCCAAATTTACTTCCCCTTGAAACTGGATGTCTCCGTCCCAGTGCTGCCTCTGCTTAACTGTGCATGATGTTAAAAAACGGTCAACACATAATTGTATTGTTTCAGGAACTCATGCCCTTTTGGATAACTTGTCATCATTCCAACACTGTAAGAAATCTCTGAGTGTTTTTAGATAGCTCTTTTAAATTGGAGAAGCAAATGTCCAGTTTTTATCAGTTACATGAAATTGCCAAAGTGGAGCCTTATCTTCTTACTAAAGACCTAGAAAAACGCATTGATGCCTTCATCACCTCAAGGCTAGACTACTGCAATTCCCTTTTTTTATGGGTCTTCAACACTCACCTCTCCATAGCTTGCAGTTAGTCCAAAATGCTTTTTATAAGTCAAGTGCACCCCTTTCCTTCACAGTGGTGGATCTTTGCCCCAACCTAAAAGCCCAACCTCTGGTAATCAAAATTGATCTGGAAGAAGTAAAGATCATAAAGGAATCTCATGTTCAACTTGTGGAAGAATCATTAACTGTGGTTTCTAACCCGGTTTATTTTTGGCACCTTGGGACTCCACCGCTTTTCCTGTCGCTGATGTGCAGGTCTCCCGAGGGACCAAATCTGCTGCCACCTGGGCTTCTTTGCGCCCCTATTGGCATCTACACGCAGCAGATACTAACTCCCCAAATGTCCCTGTGCCCCCCATCATGCCTAAGTAGTAATTGTGCTAAATTGAGTTGAGATGTGATGTGCGGTAACAGTGACAGGTGCATGCTGCTGTTGCTGTAGTTTGCCAGAGATCGATGTAGCATCGCACGGTGTAATTCAGAGGTCATGGACAACATGACATTTTCTTTCCCACCTCTTTGCTGCACTTTACTTGACAGAGTCATATCTCATAAAAAAAAAATCAATAATGCACATATTTTTAGATGTAGTATGATGTAAACTTTCCATGGTTAACATTGTTGACATATAAACCTACTGAAATCTGAAAAAAAAAGTCGTCCCTTTAAATTCATAACTTTTATTTTTACTTTAGAATCGGCGGTGTTCGGTTAAAGTTGCCTCATATACTCTCACAGTGAAAACAAGATCTACTGAAAAAAGCTAGTTGACGCTTTTTAATGAAATAAATTGAAAAATGAACAAAAAAGGAACAATAACACAAATTGCATCTTTCAGGGCATTCTGGGAATAGTAGTTCAAAAAAGGTTGTTTTTTTTATTGTGCCTTCAATCCATCTTCTTCCACTTGTCTGTGTTTATTTGTAGAATATATCAACATATATCGGATAAAAATGTGTTATCGGTAGCTAAGCCTTTGTGCCATAATGTACAGCAGGTATTCTTTTTACTTTTCATGAAAGTGAAGTGTTTAAACAACTGCCACACACAATCACTCTATTTTTCCTTTTAGAGCTTTGTAATTGTGTGAGCATTAATTTTTTTCTTTGTTTTGTTATTTGTTTTTTAAAATTAGGATTATGTCTGAAAGCAGGTGTTTTCTTACAGTTCTAACAGTTATTTTGGAAAAGAAAAAATATGAGTCATATATGCCTGAGATTAGAAAAATGTGCTTGATAAGTTATCTGCTCGGGATTAACGGTGAGCTTCTTCCAGTGTAGCTGAGTGAAATCTCTCTCAGCACTGGCACAACATTTCTGTTAGACTGTCTCTGTGTTAGACACAAAATAGGTGAAAGCTGCCAAATTAGACCAAATTAGGTCTTATTCTAGCTCATAACCATGTATAGTAGTCATGACCTGAAAGCCTCACTTTTGAATATCATGAGACTTGTGTGCACGTTGTTAATGTAGACTTTAGGAAAATAGTCTTTCCCACACATAATTTTACTCAGGTGAAAGAATATAACTAAGTGTGAGAAAAACTAGAGCTTAGAGAAAAATCAAAACTAACTTTACAAAAGGGGACACACATTAGCAATTAATCCTTTTGAGAGAGAGAGAGAGAGAGAGAGAGAGAGAGAGAAAGAGAGAGAGAGGAGAGAGAGAGAGAGAGAGAGAGAGAGACACAGAGAGAGAGAGAGAGAGAGATTGACTCACTTTTATTTTGAAAGCTAGTTTCACCAAACAAACTACTCCTGGTGTTTCCTGTCATGTGTTATGTTTTCAAGGTAGGTCACCACAGAGACACTTTAAAAATTAAAATCAAATCAAAAGGTACTTAGTAGATTTAAAGAAATAAATCCTATAAAATAGGTTTAATAATTAATTTAAGAATGTGTGCACACATATATATCCCCACCCCCCATTCCCAGCCCCATCATGAATACAATGTTTGGGAAACCGTAAAAGTTTGAGAGTAGTTTTAAAAAATTTCTTCTTGTACAGATTTGGAACAGCTGCTGTTTCCTACTGCTGCCTTATAGGCACAGAGCTCGTTCACTCTAACGTTGCTTTAAATTCTCTGAGTTGGCCAAGGTTGGCAACGGACGGCAACGCGCGCACACACACCCGTGAGCAACTCTATCCCGTGTTTTCCACGATTTCTGGCCAGATCACATTTTCTGCTCAGCTGGACATTTCCCCAGATGTCTGAGCACAGAACGTGCTGGACTCAGACACTCAAAGATCAATCAAATTTAGTGCCCAGGTCTCAGGCCCTCTACTACTCAGGAAAGCCTTCACAGCCATTGGTCAGACGTTGGCGCTAACGCTAGTCCAGGTTCTCTTTTTTTTTTTACCTCAGGAAATCTGGATGTAGCCTCAAAAGTCTGTTTGTGTTACACACACACTCCTGTAAGCTTTGTGTGTGTGTGTGTGTGTGTGTGTGTGTGTGTGTGTGTGTGTGTGTGTGTCGAGCTGCAGAAAAATAATATTAGCACTTGCTAAACCACCCTGGGTAAATAAAGGTATAAATAAAGAATCCAAACCACAAAGCAGTGGCACGCAACTTAAGTTGATGGTAAGACAAGCAAACAGGAAGTGAGGAATATTTTCTAAACACTTAATAAGGTCCCAAGTTAGCTGTTACTTTCACAGTCAACATTGCGTGTGCAGATAGCACAGTAGTGTGTGTGTGTGTGTGTGTGTGTGTGTGTGTGTGTGTGTGTGTGTGTGTGTAAAAAGGGTGGCCTTGATGGGGATACTTGGAGGAGAAAAGCTGAAGATGGTGTTATAAGAGAGTGGCCATTTTTCATTGTTTGGTATCTGTAGAAGAAAATAGGTCAGGGCGGTGAGCTCTGAAACATTCTGTCGGCATGCAGCTCAAAGATTTGAGAACAACAGATGAATTCTTTGCACTGGCACGGTGACAGAAGGCTAGCTCACACGTGCGTCAGTACTTCAGCAGATAAATTAGAAGGAAATATTGGAAAATACCTTTGTAATACACAATTTTGTGGATTGATATTTAAATGACTGATTGTCTGCTTTTTTGTTAGCGACTGGGGTTGGATGATTGGTAGAATATTTTCACATCTGTCAAAATCAGTCAGCAGGTTTTTGATTTGTTTTTGTTTTTTTTTTAAAGGAATTTTTTCATTTGAATTTTTTTTTTAATGTCCTTGTTGAGAATTCGTGAAATTGTACTCACAGCATTAGTTTTTTTGTTTTTCTTTAACATCCCATCAAATATTTCACTCTTGCTTGATGTCTAATGGTAATACTTATACATTGCTAGACGCAAAGTTGGTTAAATAATTTTTTTTACCATGTGAGCTTCTTTTTAATGTGGAAAGTTTCATAAATATGAACTAAAACATGCAGCAGACATCCATTATTTCACATATATTATTACATATTATTATGAAGTAGTTGCAGTTTGTCATGTTTATTTTCCCTTCTGGTGGAAGGTTTTCATAAATATAAAGCATGCAAGTTTAGTTGATGATAATGTGTGTATGGGGTGGGGGTGGGGGGGTTGTTTTTTATCAAATATACCAAGGTGCTCAGCAGTAAAACTCCTAATTAAAAGTGAAAAGTAAAACATTTTGGGGGATAAAATTACTGAGTACTTTTGTTTGCATTTTGAATAGGCTCAGATTGTCAGACTGCATGGAAAGACTCCAAAATAGAGCTTGTTCATCAACATTATTTCCCTGGAGAAACGTCCTCAGCACCTCATCTGCTGGTTACTTTCCATCCACGCCCGGCTGCAAAAAAAAAATAAAAAAATCTCAAAATAGGAAGCATATGCTAGAACAAGGAACGCCACCGTTCCTTAACATTAAGACGGCGTACAGAAACTGGAGTGAGGTTGAGAAAAGACCTAGTTGTCAATTGCTTGTTCTCAAAACACGCTACAATACTTGCAAAAACAGAAAAAGTAAGTGTGAAGGAGGCATGGATAACGATTCCCAAACTGGCGCCCACCAGTAATTATGATGCGAGTACAAAGAGACTTTTGCCATTCTGAAGGGAAAAGGGGAGTGTAGGTGTATTAATTCCTGTTCCTTCCTGCTTCCTCGACTTGGAGGTTCAGATTTAGAAAAATAGCCCCCCTCCCCTCCTTCAAAAGGAAAGAAAAAACAAGAACTGTCACATTGACTGACGCCAATCGTATGTAGCATCTGTGTTCCCACTACTGCTCCCTATAGTATATGCCACACTGTGGCAATGTGGGAAACTGACACTGTCAATTTATCAGAACAAAAGCATTCCTCAGCAAGAGAAATACACATCTTTGGGCCCTGGAGACAAAAATCATTCCACCCCCACCCTTACCTGCATCTAAACAGAATGTAGGACATTCACAACACCAGAAATAGAAATTTCAGTCACAATTATCATTTTTGAATTTATCCCCTGCAGTCAAAAGTTAGCGTTTAACTTGAGGAGTTAGAGAGAGACTTTAATGCCAACTTTTTAAAAGTAAACAGCTGCATGAAAGGCGATGTGGATGGATTCAAAATTGGACCATTTCAGTTTATTTCTTCAGATCTTTTCTTCTTGAAATGATTATTTATTATTTGCGACAAACTTGTTTTTATTTATGAGGTGTTTGTTGTTTTTTCAGGTGTCTGATCCTGTAGCCCCCGCCATCACTTTGTGTCAAATTTGGGTAAGTACCCGACCTAATTTTAACTCCTCTTCCTCCTCTTCTAATGTGTTCACGGACCAGACAGGCTTCCATGAACGCTGGATGTGTTTCCATGCAAAGTCTGGTTTTATTTCTTTTATTACCATACTTTAGGTCGGGCATCTTACATGCATATCTACAGGAAAACTAATGCGATGCTTGATTGGTAGAGGTAGTTAATGCGGAGTGGCCCTTTTTGGTTTTCCTGTTTAGACATTGAACCAAAAGCCATCTTACCTTTGTTTGTTTCTTTTATAATCAGGATGTACATCAGGATGTATGTTGTGATGAATAAGTAGGATGCACATGTAACTCGGTGAGTTCTGTGTTTGTCACACGTACACCAAATTTGGAGGTAGGGAATTTTAAAACATGTACATTTATGATTAAATAATTTGCAGTTTTTTTCAATAAATGTGTAACAAATTCTTGTTTATTAGTTACAGATACTTGTGTATTATTCAAGGTATTTGCGTCATTGAAAATTGGCTTAAGGGTGTTCCCGTGATGCAGTCTTAATTTAGTTAGTTAGCCTCGGTGAGGAGAAAACAGATCATGTGTTTTAGATACCAAATGTGGGGAAAAAGCGGGCTCCTTTTAAAAAAAAAAAGTGGAACTTTGTCTAGTTTTCCACTACACAGAAAGACCACAAGCCTTCAGCTCCTGTGTGCTCCTATTGTCCTGCTCTGAGCCAAACCCTGCATAGGAATTTATTTGTGATCGATTCTGATCTACAGCGAGGTTACATAGATAGATGTCGTGACTTTCGACTGCATTACTTCAGCCTGAAAACAACGGTCACGTGACTCACTGTGGTGTTGTAAACAGCAATAAAAACATCAGTAAAATTATGAAATTACCTTAATTTTACCCATCCAGATCATCATGCTTTGTGTTGTTACAGTCTCCATACTACATACTTCATTATGTAATTATTTTTTTAAAGAATTCATTTTTGCTAATAATGTGCACAATTGCGTTGAATTAATTTTTAGGTGCATGAAAATGTTGAAATTGTGTGAATTTAATTTTGTACGTTTAAACAATGTAGAATTTGATCATTGGGTCCTTAATGCAAGGAGTCTTCACCCTGATATTAAGGTTTGATAAAATTCTTATGCCACAGGAATTTTATCTGATGTTCTCTCGTATATCCTCATGACCACACACGTCTTGAGGGAATTTCTTCACATCAGTTCACTTGATGTCAACAATGAACTGATAGATTTTGGTGATAAAAATACAACAACATGACTCCATGACGAAGGATTCAGTATTCACGTGGGACATCAGTTACCGAATACCTCACTGCTTTCCAAATTATTATGCAAATAAGATTTTAACGTCATAAATATTCAGTTTTTTTTTTTCCCAGTTAAACTCAATGACGGTATTGTGTCTCAGGCCTCTTAGGATCACTGATATATTCATAATTAGTGATGTCATAATTAGTTTGCTAGGTGAGCCCAATCAAAGGGAGCCTAGCATGCCACATATTTCAAACAACATCAGAAAGAAAAAGGATCTCCCTGTCGCAGAAAAGTGTCAGATGCAGTGCAGTGCCTTGGACAAGGCATGAAAGCATTAGATATTTCACAAAAAGTTTAGCGTAATCATCGTACCGTGAATGAATTTGTGGCTGATTCGGAGCACAGAAGGGTTTGTGCAGGTAAAGGCATAATGAGGACGGTTTCTGCCAGACAACTTCATCGGATTAAGAGAGCAGCTGCTAAAACGGCATTACAAAGCAGCGAACAGGTATTTGAAGTAGCTGGTGCCTCTGGAGTCCCATGAAACTGAAGGTGTAGGATCGTGTAGTTGTGCATAAACCTGACATTTGGCCATCTCTAAAAAATACAAGCAGAAACAGCTGCAATGGGCCCAGAAATACATGAAGATTATTTTCAAACAGTCTTGTTTACTGATGAGTGCCGTGTAACCCTGGATGGTCCCGATGGATGGAGTAGTGGATAGTTGGTGGATGACCAGCGTGTCCCAACGAGGCTGCGGCATCAGCAAGGCGGTGGCGGAGTCATGTTTTGGGACTGAATCATGGGGAGAGAGCTGCTAGGCCCCTGTAGGGGTGTGAAAATAACCTCATCAAAGTATGTAGTGTTTCTGACTGAACACTTTCTTCAATGGTACAAAAAGAACTGTGCCTTCCGTAGCTAAATTATCTTTATGCATGATAATGCACCACCTCATGCTGCAAATAATACCTCTGTGGCATTGGCTGCTGTGGGCATGAAAGGATAGAAACTCATGATGTGACCCCCATCCTTTCCTCACCTCACCCCTATTGAGAACCTTTGCAGTATCCTCAAGCAAAAGATCGATGAGGTTCAGAGGCAGTTTACATCAAAACAGCAGCTGTGGGAGAAATATTCTAACATCGTGCAAAGAAATTCAAGCAGAAAATGTTCAAAACCTCACAAATTTAATGGATGCAAGAATTGTGAATGTTAAATGAAAGAAGGGGTCTTATATTAACCTGTAACTTGGCCTGTTAGGATGTTTTTAACTGAAATAACTTTTGTTTTCTTCTAATGCTGCAAATTCAACAAATTACCATTTTCAGTTCTTTACAACAATACATTTTTCAAAACTCTTTTGTGGATAATAATTTGAAACAGTGTAAATAAGATTTGAATTGTGCTTTAAAATATTTTTTTTCATTACCTCTAACTGGTGGAGGCAGATGGTTGCCCTTCCTCGAGCCTAGTTCTGTTAGTTCCTTCCTGTTAAGTACTTCCTTTCCACTCTTGCCAAGTTCTTGCTCATAGGGGTTTGTCTAATTCCTGGGCTTTTCTCTGTATTATTATAGGGTCTTTACCTTATAATATAAATTGCCTTGAGGTAATTGCTGTTGTGAATTGTTGCTATATAAATAATATTAAATAGAATTTAATTTAATTAAATGGCCAACTATATTCCTCTTTCTGATCTCTAGTTAACATCCTTCTTTGGATTGTGATCTTTTTGTGGAAATGTGTTTCAAATTTGGCAAAAGTGCTCTGACTGAGAGAGAGGTCAAGGAAAAAGGTAATTTTGACCTCAAGAAATGTTTTTTGTTGATGTTTTTGTGACATATCTTGAGTAGGGTGGGTATCATTTAGGTTTTATCCGATACCGGTGCCAAACCGGTGCTTTTGAAATGGTGCCGGTGCTTAAACGGTGCTCGAACCAGTGCTTAATGAATGGAGAACACAAATTTTGTCCAAAAACCTCTCATGTTTAGCTGTTTTCCACTTTTTCTTTGGTCATTTTAGCCTTTTTAGCCAGGGTGAAGGGAGTATCTGCCATCAAACAAGAAGACAGCCGCATGTAACTACGACGGTGTTTGCTAGTTCACCTTACATGCATTAATGTAATAATGTGGTGAGCATACTCAACGTAAATTACACACGAACAACATTAAGCTACTCACACAGGGGAGAATGGCTGCTGCCATGATGATGGCAGCAGCAGCCATGATGGGTACCGGATACCGGTACCCATACCTAATCTTGAGTATTAGTATACACGAGTTACAATTCCATTTAATAACCGTTAAGGCCCATAAGCCTAGAGAATGGTTGACATTGGTCTTGCAACTACTTGTTGGAAACCACCTACCAACCACTGGCTGGAAACCATAAACCAACAGCTGGTTGGCTACCCCTGTTTGGAAACCACTGGTTACGAGGGTTAAATGTGTAATCCATAACCAGTGGCAAATAGTTGCTGAAGGCAATCTCTGTTAAATTGATTGCTAAAGCCCCTTTCACACAGGCCTAGAAGACCGTTCAGTGAACCTTAGGCAACAGTTGCTTGCTAAGGAAAAGTGTGTACAATGTGAATGGTTGGCAAGTCATTGCTGGTAGTTGCAAGTAGTCCGTAGGGAAAAGCTGGTCGTAGTGTGGTTTACAGCGCTGGACCACTGGTTGTTTTGATTGTTTTGGAAAGTGCAGGTTGCAGCTGTAAGGCACAGCTTTGTTTTAAGCTTTGTTTCCAGGTCTGGCACGTTTCCAGTTTCACTAAAGCCCAGAAAAGCGTGAGTGTGTGCAGGTAAGTCGTTGTATTACATGTAGACTGTGAGTGACTATGGCTGCAGGCAACCAAAGCAATCAAAAGGAGGTTTTTGAGGCAAAAATGTTTCAAATCAAAATGATGAGACCTGTTGTTAATTCAGTGTTGTCGCAAAGTTTTTTGCTGCTCATTAAGTATGCACTTGGTGTATTAGTTAAGGCCTACAGTATCTCTTTGTCTTTATCTCCTGATTAGCTGCCTCTTTGTTGGCATTATTTCTGATAAGCTGCTGAGAACTCCTTTAACATCCACATCAAACTTGTGTTTCTGTCTTCTGATAACACTAATGGTTTTCGCTGTAATTGATTTCAGTCAGATGCAGTTTATTGATTGATCAGTACTTCAGTCACACTTCTGCGTCTATAATCCCATTGGAGATGTGCAAGCCTGACTTTTCCCCCCCAAACCTGTTGCTTGAATTGTTTTAGATCACCTGAATTCACTTTTAAGTCATTTTACTTCTATTAAGCAGCGAATACAGTTTCACAGAAATTTCACAAATCGTAAAAGCAGACGTTAAGATAAGCTCTGAGGTGTCTGTGCTTAGCAAAGCATGCACTGTTGTTGAAAATCAAAATTTGATATATTTTTGAAACAGATGGTAAGGAGCTCATGTGGGAACTTGAGCTTTTCTTCACTGAATATGAAAATGTTGAACAGGTGGTCCAAGAAGCTTCATTCCCTACTGCAGCTTTCATTAACTGACTTTCATTCTTCTAGTAATAATACGCTTATTCTGGCCCTCAGAGAGGGGCAGACAAAAAAGCTGCTGCTTTTTTTTGTAGGTAAGAAATGGAAAAAATTGAGGCCTTGGTATATAGTATTAGACATCAGCATCACCCAAAATCATGTGACACACATGCAAGATTTTTAATGATCTGATAAGCATCCAGAATGTGTTTCATTTGCTTCAT